GTGAATTTAGCAGTTTTTGCTTAAAAACGTACTTGCACAAATGCGTGATCGTCGCCTGTTATACACCACTAAAAAGAGCAGAAAATTTCCGATAAGATAGATATACTTCTTTAGTTTTCCCCCTATCAAATAACAGAGAGTTGTTTAGAAGAACAGCGTTTCTGCGTGTAGGGATGTATATTAAGGGTGATTTATTTAGCGATAATTGCACTGCTCAAAACAAAAATAACACTTTGGTTAGATTTTTAGTTACTTTATGTAATATAGTAGATTTGGTATTATAATCCATCGTTTTCCTGAGCCAGGGCATACCTTGCGATCGTTATATCGGAATCATCTAAAACCAGAAAAAACGCGTCGATCGAATTTTTTTGCCACAAGAGTATATAACAATAATAAAATCATGTAGCAAGAACTTTCATGTCATTTTCGTTAGTCAAAACATGATAAAGAACTACGTTTTACATTTCAAAGATTTTTTTAATACTATCCCTAAAGCAGCGTCCAAAGAAAGGTTTGTTATAAGTTCTTACCGTATCTTTAAATGTCTCAAAAAATCATACGGTGTTATGTGCGGTTCATCTGCTAGGAGTGACAGTTTAACCCATTTTAATACTGTTAAAAATAATAAATTACCGAATTTAAATCTGATTCCCAATTTGTATAACTGTGAATTACCAATAAAACATTTAAAATATGAAAATGTTATGCTATTAGCTATTTGCTATTAGCAATGTGTAGGAAAAACTGAAATGTATTTTTATCGTTCGCTGAAAAGTGATAAAAACTCACATTCCGATTCAGTTACCGACAGCTCTTCTGAGGAAGATTTTTGATGTCTATTACGTGTTGTTAAAAATTGTTTTGTTTATTTTATTTGGTAAAAGTGTTTGTTCGCCTTCTTTTAAATAATAAAAAGTTTTATATGTTATTTTTATATGTTACCCTTTCTCCAACCTCTCACCAAAAAAATTAAATATGGATTCACATATCCCCTTCTTGCACCAGAATTTGTTTTTTTACTATGATTTCACAATATGTATATGGAAAAAGTGACATTTGCTCAGATAAAATTGTCATTCTTATGTATACAAATCAAATAATCACTCAAAAAATCGTTCGAGAATGCAAAAGTATTTCGCTGTCGTGTATCAAATAACATTTTTAACATTTTTTCGAAAACTGCGTATTCTAAAGTTATAAATTAATAAAAAGACCAAATTCAGGATAATGACATTTAGAATTCATTTAATGTTATGTCAAAAACTTAACGTCACATCGATTTAACCTCACATATTGAACAAATGTACTATTATAAATTTGCATTTAAACGTGAAATGAAATGATAAAACAATTAAATGTTGATTATTTTGTGTTTATAATTTGTTCATAACAATAAATTAACAATTAATAGTATCAAATTCTTTGATTGTCGTAGCTGGACGTAAAAGTCTTTTGCGGCCTGGACGTAAAAGACTTTTATCTACGACTGCTTGGATAGGTCTTCATTACCGCACTCATTTGAGGTGATTTGAGTTACGCACTGGTTTCATTACGTAACGCATTTTTAGCTTAATCAGAACAGACTTAATTTATTGAAACGAGCAACAATACAAAAGAAAAAGTGCTATCTACTTACAGAGAAACAATACTATTTATTATGAACATTAATTGTTATGTTTTTACATTTCGAAACACTTATTCCAGATGAGTAAACATGTTGTTGAAACTGACATTAATTCAAAATTGTCAACAATCATTTCAAAAT